GGGAGGGAGGGAGGGAAGGAAGAAAGGAAAGAAAGAAATGAGTTTCTGAAAAATTGCCCTGGCAGCCCTGGTCCACTCCAGGCATTGACTAAAGGGACACACCACAGACAGGCCAGGACACTGTCACATTCCTGCAGGAAGAGGTGACAGACCTGACCTGGGAGGAGGGGGAGGAAAAAGGATTTAGAGCTCTTTAAGAGGCTGGTCAGAGGACTTGGTGACAGACACCAGAGCACGGAGCAACCAGGACCCTTCTGGTAACAGAAACCCCACCAACGTGACGGGCTTGTTTCATTCCAGGCAAGGAAGGAGGCAAGGGCCCTGCTCTTTATTTATTTATTTATTTTTCCTGTTGGCCGAGTCGCACGGCTTGCAGGATCCTAATACCCAACCAGGGATGGAGTCCAGTGAGAGCACCAAGTCCTAACCACTGGACCTCCAGGTAATTCCCAGGGCCCTTGTCTTAAGAAGGCTTTGACTCTGGGGGGAGAGGATGCCCTCCCTCATCTCGTTGGCCAGGATTGTGTCGAAAGGTCACCCATAGCTGCAAGGAAGTCTGAGTGATTTCAGTGGAGTTGATCGGTACCCTGGACAAAATCAGAGTTCAGTTAGGGGGGAGGGGCAGGTGAGTACCGGGTGAGCCCGAAGTGGCGTCAGGGGGACGCCCCGGGTTTGACAAGCCCATCTGAGAGGTGCCGTGGCCATCGGGGAAGATGGGCAGTTAGACACCTCCACCTGAAGCTTGGGTGAGGATACTGGCCTGAAGCCATGAATTCAGGGTTGCCAGCTCATAATGAAGGATGCCCTTCTACAAACTTCCCAGCCCATTCTGTGACTCTGCCCCATAGACCTCCCAAAGTAAGAATGGGGCGTCATATGAGGCTTCCAAAGGAGGAATCTCACTGCCTCCACACTGGGATGGTCTCTATGTGCGAACCTTGGCCCACCGTGAGTTTATCGCCTCTTTGGGGGAAGAGCTGGGCCTCCTTCCTGGTCACCCCGGCAGTTCACACAAGGCAGGCCACTGTGGGGACGTGAGATAAGCCTCTGCCCACCCTGGGATTCCAAGACGTGGCATCCATCTCTGCCCACTGTGCATTGACCTTGGTGGGCTGGGAGGCCAGGAAGGTCTCTTCCCCACTCCCCCATCAGCAGTCGGATCCTCATCTGTAATCAGGGGCTGGCTTCCTGCCTCATTGTTAATTATCTTTCTTCATTATACCGAGAAGGGTCTTCCTCAGTGATTTGCTTGTCTGCATAACCAGAGCTGGGCCTGGAACGTTGCTGGCAGTGGCCTGCCCGTGTTCTCTGGCAGGCCCACGGCAGCCTCTACCCGGAGCCCCGGGGACCCAAGAGCAGCCCAGGCAAGGCTGTCTTGACTGCCCTTCACGTCCTCTCTGGCCTCACTGGCCACAGTGGCTTTCTTTGTTTTTTTTTTTTTGCGGTACGCGGGCCTCTCCCTGTTGCGGCCTCTCCCGTTGCGGAGCACAGGCTCCGGACGCGCAGGCTCAGCGGCCACAGCTCACGGGCCCAGCCGCTCCGCGGCATGTGGGATCTTCCCGGACCGGGGCACGAACCCGTGTCCCCTGCATCGGCAGGCGGACTCTCAGCCACTGCGCCACCAGGGAAGCCCCACAGTGGCTTTCTTGACCAGGGAACTCTTCTTAAAGGAAGGCATTTCGCAACTCTGTAGCATTCTGTGCCTGCAAAACCTCTTCTTCCCTCCTCTTGAGGCTGTGCTCAGGCTGCACCCCCAGGGCCCTCCCCCTCCCAGGTGCCCTCGTTTCTCCCCCCGGGCCATCTCCACCTCGCTGCCCCTCAGCCCAGACCTCTCTCCTGAGCTCCAGGCCCCCTGCGAGAGCCTGAGCCCTCACAGGCCCCTCCAACTCCACTGACCTCGCCCCCAGACTCGGCTACTCTTCTGCCCGCTTCTCTCTGCCTGAGATAGGCCCCCCAGACGTCAGCTCCTGGGGACCCCCATCAACTCTAAAGGCTCAGCGCAGACACCCCCTCCTGTGTGAAGCCAGGTGGTGGCGCCTTTCTGTCTCCAGAACCTTGGACTCACCACCACGGGAGCACCTGTTGTGGTCTTAACTGTTCCTGTCTGCTTCTCCCCAGACTGAGCACAGCGGGGTAGGAGCTGCACTGAATGATCTCTGTAATCTCCTGTGGGAGATGCCAGGAACGAATCAGTGAACGGATGAAGAGTGAATGAACGGTCAGGAGACTGGATCTATGCAGACACAGGCGCATCCCCAGCCACACGTCTCCAAGCGGCTGGGGAAGGTCACAGTCTACACGGTCTCCAGTAGTGGGACAGGTCCTATCTCCAGTGGCAGAGCGGGGGACGGTCGGTGAACATTACTCCTGGAACATGGAGGAACATCCCTGCGTGGGTTGTGTTCACCGGTCACACACTGACCTTGAGATAGATTGGATGTGGTGAATAAAGCCAGGGTCTCCCAAATGTCACACACACACACACTCACACATACACTTATGGTCTCCATCAGGCACGTTCCCTGGTCTCTCAGCCCTTTCTGGAAGCCACCGTGGTGTGCACAGTCACTGGTGCCAGTTCCTAGAATCCATTCCTCTTCTCCTTGGAAGCTATATCCAAATTTTTGTTCAGGTGTCCTCTCTCCCCAGCCCCCCAGCCCAACCCCGCCTCCATCTCAAGGCCTTGTAAGTTTGGGGCCAATCCTGAGGTCCCACCCCTGGCCACACGGCTGATTCAGCACTGGGGACCTGACCCAGTTCTGGCCAATGAGACAAAGGAGCTTTGCTGGGGGGCTTCTGGGAAGGAAGTCCCCCGCCGCTCTGGGTGGGGTGTGCAGACATCAAACCTGAAACCGTTGAGGACGCAGCCCAAAGATGAAGCTGACAGGGCACAGGGGAGCCAGGAGCATCTCGGAGGGCCTGAGCTGCAGCCCAACTGCCCACCCACCTCAGGCGCTGAAGACTCTACCCGCTGAGGTTTGCTGAGCCAACAACCCCAACGTTCAGTCACAGAGTCCCTGCATAGAGCCTGGTGTCTGGGGTGGTGAGGCTAGAGGTGTGAACACTTGAATTCCCAGAGGCAGAGCCGAGGGTCTGCAGGGCAGTGGAACCAAGAGAAGCAATGCCAGCCTGGTTCCCAAATCCAACCGAGGAGGAGAAACAGGAGGCCAGCCGGCAGGCTGGACAGCGTCCGAGTCACTGTGGAAGGCCTCCTGGGGAGCCGGCCGGAAGGAGGGGAGGCCAGGGGAGTCCATGAGACGGGCCAGGGGCATCTGTGGCCTCAAGGATGGGGAGGGGAGGCGACAAGGTGTGAGCTGCCTGGCTCTGAGCTCTCTTGGACTGACGCACACCTGGAGGTGTCCCAGCTCCCAGACACTCAGCGCAGCTCAGGCCTCGAGCTAGCTACTTATTCACTTGGGCTGGAGCTGTCCCTGCAGGGCTGGCTCCCTCCCCACTCCCACAAGGAGCTCCCTGCAGGCCCCACCCGACACAAAGCAGGGCTCTTCCTGCCAAAGTGCCCCAGCTGCAAGGGAGGGGACCCCCTTGAGGGTCAGCCACCAGCTGATACCTCTCTGAATCTCACCTTGTGAGAAACCTAACGCAAATACTTTCTCCTGAATGTCTTTAAATATCTCATCATGAAATAAAGGTGAAGCCTCTCGTGCTGGCACCATGGCTTCAGGCCTCCACATACCCCAGGGCACACACACCCCAGGTTTGGAAGCTCAGTGGAGCTCGCCTGGTCTGGGCTTCAAGCTTGGCTCCACCAACAATGAGCTGAGTGTCTTTGGGCAAGAGAATTAACCTGTCAACCCAGGAGGGAGGGAGGGAGGGAGGGAGGGAGGAAATGCTAAAGCTTGCGAAGCAGGGGCAATAGAAATCAACTTCCTGTGCCCCACTCTCATAATTTCCTTGCTCATAGAAATTTTGGTTGATAGAGCAGACACTGTCAGCCACAGGACAAGGCAGAACCACGGCAGTGACAATCCCGCCACCTGAAACAAAGCTCAGGAGTTATATCCAAAAATAAAGCTAAGACTCCAACGTTCATCCCTTTCACCTGCTTTTTCTGCATAAGAGATTTATGCAGAGATAAATCCCTGCCACCTGGAAGTCCAGGCTGGTCCCTGGGCCCAAGAGCACAACTCCAGCGGCCCCCGGGAAGGACCCAGGCCACTGCTGCATGTGCCACATGCCACTCAGAGCAGCCCGCGTCCACTGATGGAGCTGGAGACCCGGGCTGCGTGCAGTGGGGGCCTTGATGCCAGAAAGAGAAGCAGGTGGGGAGCGGGGCGGAGCCAGCCCGTCAGGAGGTCATGCACGGGCAAGGTTGCAGGCCAGGGCAGAGGGCCTGCTGGGTGGGCTGTCTCAGGACAAAAGCACAGATGATCGCGGCTGCACTGCATAGCAGACAGAAATGGAGGGACACACGGACACGGACACACACACACACACACACACACACACACACACTTTGCGTACTTTTGTCATTTTTGTTTGTTTCATTTTGTTTTGAACACTAAGATTTATTTTCAAACAGCACACAGACGTCTGCGGGGCAGGGCCAGGCCAGGCTGGTGTCTGGGCCCGAGGTCTCAGGGGACGCTGGACGCCACCCGCGGCAGCTGCCAGGAAAGGAGGGCCCCGGCCCGGGCGGCCGGCCCAAGCTTCTGGCAAGCGCGGTGCGCGGCGGCCCCCAGGCCCCGCCCCGCGGCCGGGCACCCAGGCGGCGGCAGTGGCGCCACCCAGCGGGCGCGGGCGGGGAAGGCGGCCGGGAACTCAACTAGGGGATACAGCAGCTTCAGGAACACTGGCGATTCCGCCGGACTCGCCGAAACCAGGCTCTTTGGAAAACCACCTCATCTTTGGGAAGACACCTCCTGGCTTAGGTCTCTCCCCTCAATTTCCCTTTGCTTTTCAAAAGTAAAAACAAAACGGGCGGGGAAGGCGGCCGGGAACTCAACTAGGGGATACAGCAGCTTCAGGAACACTGGCGATTCCGCCGGACTCGCCGAAACCAGGCTCTTTGGAAAACCACCTCATCTTTGGGAAGACACCTCCTGGCTTAGGTCTCTCCCCTCAATTTCCCTTTGCTTTTCAAAAGTTTAAAAACAAAAACGAAAAAAAAAAAAAAAAAAGAAACACACATTTTTCGGGAAAAGGTGCTGCTGTTCACGTGTCCGCAGCACCACCAGTCGCTCTGCTCTCACTGCACCCTCGCGGTGAAGTTCTCGGGGAAGACGCCCCGGCACTTCTCCAGTTCCTTGTGCAGATTCCAGTCGCTCTCCTTCACGCCCATGAGCCAGCCTTCATCCTGAGGGGAAGCCAGCGCGTTGCATGGGGCTGGGGGAGGACGACGTCCACCCCGACAGGGCGAGCCCTCCTTCTGGCCGCTCATTTCCTCTAGACTGTCACACCCGCCTTAAAGGACGCCTCCTCCAGGCAGCATTCCCCGCTCTTCTCTTGAGACCCAAACCGGGCCTCCCACCCCAGGAGCCATCCCTCCCTGCAGTAGGTACATTAACTCTTAATTGTTCGGTGAGTCCTCACGGCAGGAAGGCAGCCTGACTGCTGCACTGGTCCAAACGCCTCTAAATGACTCCTTCAATCCCCCACCAAAGAGCTTCCCACCAGCTGGTGCCCACAGAGGCCACATCACTGAGGAGGACATCAACTGTTCTTCTGGCCTTCCACAAACAATGCCAGAAGGTTCTGCTGAGCACTGACCACGTGACCTGAGGCCATCCCACCAAACCCTCTGAGTTGAACCTGACCTTTGCTTTAATACTGACCCCTCAGAGGGTTCACCTACCCAAGCCGTGACAAGCCCTGACCCCTGGGCCTGCAGTAACCACACACCCCCTGCCATTGCTGCCCCTGCAGCAGGGCTATGCCTGGGACCCACCTGCAGGATTACCTGCCCTTGTCCTAGATCCTGTGTGTGTCCTACCTGAGCCACTTCCACCCATCCCAGATGGCTCCCACTGTGGGCTGGGAGGCCAGGAGTCTGCTCCTAAAAACCCCACCTAGCCCAGGGCTGGCCCACTGGGGAGATCAGCGGGGACCTGGGGCTTTAGGAAAATGGGCTGATTCAGTGCCAGGTCCAGGAGATCCTTGTTACTCAAACCTCCCAGCCCACGGTGGCCTCAGTAAGTACCTAGTGTCCTCAAGCCCCAGCCCAGGATGCCCCAGCCAGGTTGGCCTCACCCCAAATCCAGCCCTCCTCCCACCCTCAGCCACTCTGACAATTACACCACAGGGACATGTTGGTGATTGAACGGACTAGAGTCCCACTAGGTCCCCTCTGCACTGTGGCTGCCACCTCGATACCCATGTGGGTAGCCCCACTAGACCACCAGCACCCCACAAACAGGGGCTCCTGCTGAGGGGCCACCGTGACCTGAATAAAGCAGCCCATCCAGACCTGGGGGTGAGGGGAGGGGGCAGCTCTGCCCCACTCTGAGGCCCCCCAGGTCTCAGCAAAGCCCACTCTGAGGACCTTCACAACAAGGAGAGGCCACAGCAGGAGAAGGGTCTGCGAGGCACAGGGTGAGGACCAGCTGGGGACAGGGCTGTGGACTCGGGGGTCCGTCACATGGGCAGGGAAGCGCGTGCCCTTGTGGACAGGGCGGGGCCAGCCTGGAGGGTGGCACCTGGGGCCAACAGGAGGCTGCACAGCGGCGGGTGGGGTGTGTGGTCCATGGAGGGGCAGCCTGGGATGCGGTCCTGGAGGACGGGGGCCCGGGCTGGGGGGGCCTGGAAGGGAGAAGGGGCCCAAGCAGCAGAGAATCGACAGAAAGGCAGACAGAGGCTGAGAAAAGGAGGAAGCAAGAAGCAGGAAGTGAGAGACTGAGGGGGTCAGACAGGGTGTGCCGGCCGCAGGGAAGGGAGGCGGGAGCAAAGGCGAGGCCATGGGGAGAGGCCGCGGGTCGGCTGGCGTGGCTCTGCTGCCCCCTGCTGGCCGCGCCGCCTCCCTGCAGACCGGGCCTCACCTGCTCCTCCGGGTTCTGGAAGGGGATCACCAGCACCACGTCCCCAGCTTTGAGCTGCAGCTCGTCCGTGTCAGTGGCCGTGTAGTCGTGCTGGGCCTGCACCTGCAGAGGGTGGGGAGAGCTGACACCCCTTTCCTCGGCAGCCTCTGTCCCACCTGCAGCCCCGTGGGCGCCGGGAGAAGGTGAAAGTAGCAGGAGCGGGGCTCGGAAACCAGCTCGCGGATTGGGGAGCAGAGGACAGGTAGTCAGGGAGGGACGGCTTTGGGCCCCCCACGTAGCCTCGGGCCCAGCGTCCTCCCCACCCCATGGAGGCAGCCGGAGGCTGCGGGTCAGCAGGCCAGGCTCACCTTGAACATGAACCCGGGGGGCAGATCCAGGCGCCCTGCCCCACTGCCGCCCTCCACGGTGCCGTTCACAGCTGCCGAGAAGGTCTCCACCACCACCGCGGGGAGAGAGCTCTGGCGGGAGGGGGCGCAGGTTAGCGAGGGCGGGGAGTGGGTCCTGGAGGGCGGGGCCGCGCGGGCAGAGAAGGGGGTGTCTGTGCCCAATGCCAGACCAGCCTGCCTCCAGGTTCCTCACCAGGAACCATGAACTGGACCAGCACAGAGCAAGACACGGGGCTAGGGAGCCGCGGGCGGCGGGGAGAAAAGACAGGGCCTTGGTCCCTGTCATCTTACGGAGGCTGCTTCACTTGCTGCTGTCTCCCCGGGCTCCTGGGCTCCAGCCGCAGGGTGGGTCCCACACGTCACCTCCGAGGCCCCTGCTGGCTGCAACATAAATGCCGGCATGGGGTCAGACGCACGATGGGGCGCTGAGACTGGGACAAGGAGAAGGGCCACGGAGAGCCAGTGCCTCTGCCTGGTACAGGGAGCCCCTCAAAGAAAGGCTCCGGACACGGAAGCGGCTGGAGAAGGTGCTGGCAGACACACGGACCCCGAGTGACATGCTCCTGAGAAGCCCAGCGCAGGCCCCTGGGTGCCACCCCTGAGCCTCCCTCACAGGCCCTGCCCTCTAAGCCCAAGCCCTGGCCAAGCCTCGGCTTCCTGCCACCCGCCTGGCCCCGCTGGCCCCTCACAGGTGGCTCCCATGGCGAGGGCCCAGGCAAGGCACCCCGGAAGCTGCCCGGCTGCAGTCAGGCTGCGCTGGGCCCGCACTGAAACCCAGCCACTTCTGAGCTCTGGGAGCAATCACTCAGCCCTCCTAGCCCCCACCTCCTCATCTGCAGGAGGAGGAAATGTCTAGGTCAGACTGCAGGTTAAAGGAGAACTCTGGAGAGTGCCCACCATGGACCTGGAGGTGCTCGAGACATGCCTCCCTCCCACTGTGGGAGGCCTGAGCTGGGAAGCTGGGGCGGGGGCCGGCAAGCAGGTGAGGGGCTGACCTGACTGAGCCACAGCCCTGCCCCGGGGCCTCCTGGCTCAGGGCCCTAGCCTCACCCTCAGTCCCACGGTGGCCTCGTCCGTCCTGTGCCCCCTCCTCCGGGCTCTTCCTCCATGCTACACCCCCAGAGGCCGGGGGCGGGTGAGGGGCTGGCAGGGGCACTTACTTGGGCAGGCCCCGGCTCGGCCGTCTGGCTGGGCCAGGCCACGGCAAAGGTGCCCTCGGCAGCGCTGGGCTCCCTGGAAGGCAGGCTGCCAGCTGGACTCTCTGTGGGCTAGCGATGGGCCACCAGGGAGAACAGGGTGGCTGCTGCAGCCATCAAGAATCCCATGTGCAAGCACAGGTCACTATCCACACGCCTCCGCATGCCCCCGGGAGCCTGTGCAGCCCACCACTAGATCGGAA